GAATTCCCAAATAATTGCCAGTTTCCCTCCAGTAGTGAAAGCTTAAAACAATCCATTTTTCATTCCCGAGCTTATGCTGGCTTTAGCAGCTGTATTCAGATTCACAACCATCTAAAGAAAACTCCTCCAAGGGGCATAGATATCTCCTAGGAGAAAAACATGGCCAAACACACTGCAGTGCCAAAAACCAACTCATTAATAAGTGCAGAAGGGAGAACAGATCCAGGAATATTAGTCACGTTTCCACTCTTCAGCCTTTACAAACAGGACTGAGCTAAAAGTCATTACATCATTCACCTATTTTTATTTCTAGAAAATTGTATCACTTTCTGTGAGCCAGAAAGAAAACAAGATTGTTCACAAAGGTTGGTAATAGCTCTATATGGTAACCGATGGATTCAACGAAGGATTTAAAAGAGAGGAGGATGAGCTATGCCACTTATCCCATTTTCTTTCTTGTTCTGTGCAGCTGATGTTGGGACTACATGAGGCTCAGAAGCAGCACCAATCGCATCTCCAATCAACAAAGCAACCTGCTTCATGGAAATAGGGCAATGAAAACATCCAAAAGACTTCATATTTTATCCACATGTGTAAATGAGGAAACATGAAAGAATTTGAGAGGCATATGGATGAACTGCATGCATACTCACGTTATATTTCACATGCACAGAACACATACTTCATATGTTGACATGGAATGGCATCTGCAATCTGAATTTGATGCTTATTGATCGTTTTCACTCTTCAAATTAACTGACTTGTGCGTTAATCAATACTAAAGATGCCCAGGTATTTCCCCATCACTTTGAAGAAATCACACTTTCCACAATCCCATCTTTAAATATTTGTTTCTTTTCCCTGCAGTGTCCTGTGTTTTATCACTTAAATGCATGTACTGTAACAAAATATGTATTTTTTAAAAAACACCTTCATCCTTAATCAGAACAGCTATAATTTCCGTTGCAAGAAACAGATGAATCCTTCTGAAGTTATTTTTTGTGTTCTGTTCCAGATTGATGGTTGGACTAGATAGTCTTATTGGTCTTTCCAACCTTAATGATTCTATGATTCTACCATCCTGTCCTCTCTCATCTGACTCCATGCTGAAGAGACTCTGACTGTTTGATCTCTTCTCCTGTGGAAACCACCTCATATTCTTGATGATCTTACTGCCTTTCTCTTCTGTAGTTCTAGATGACAGATTTATGGAAATGAGAAGAATTTGAATGGAAAGCAGTGCTCCAAATGTGGATTTCTCACAGATTTTATGCAGTGGTTTGTAGCACTGTTGGGTGGTCTATTTCTCTTGTAGTGATTTCTGGTGTTTATCATTGAAAATCTTCTTCCAAGTTACCCTTCAGTAACCAGATCAGTTCTTGGCCCTTACTAAGACATGATTCCCATTTCTGGTGTGCTTGGAAAAAAAAGTACTTTATTGTTTTGTTTGTTACTTTGCCTTTATATCTAACTGTACCACAATTTACACTTCACTTCTACCTTCCTCCTACAGATTTCACTCCTACAATTTAATACTATGTTTTTAATTCCCAAAGGTCTCATTTACTCCTGTTCAGCAGTGCTAGCTTCTTTTTCCAAGTGTAGAAGTAGAATGACACTCTTTTTAATTGATTTAGATTTATGCTGTTACTAAGCATCACACAGAAATGTGCTGCAAGACTCCATGATACCATTAAGCATTTTAGTCTACAACTAATCCTTTTACTTAACCTTTCAAATTGAAAAACACTGTGGTGGATATTCTGCATGGCATCTCTTTATTAGAACAGAACTCTTGCATATCCTCACTCATCTTCCCATCACTGTATGCTGTGTGTGTACTTGCAGTGTCTCAATAGCACTGTAATATTACGTAATTAGTTTGTCACAAGAACAAAGACTGAATGTATGAATAAAACTGTATAAGTATCAGAGCTGCATACTCACAACAATGTACGTAGAAAAGAGATGCTGCAACTGAAAATCACTCCCTCCTCAGCAATGCATATTAAAAGATCTTCTGCCTGTCAGGAATCTGCTTCTCCTCAAAAGGACTGGTCAACATGTCCACCCACTACTAATGCTGTCTCTTTCCTCCTTCCTGCTTTAGACTCATCCAGACTTACTTGGAATAAAATCTGTCCCTTGATGAGAATTCCATGGCAGCACTGAACTCAGTGGAAACTGCCGCAGGGATGGCAGCCCCTGAAAGTTATGGGAACGCTGATGCAAAATGTTGCTACTGAAGAATCATAAAGGTTGGAAAAGACCTCTAAGATCATCTAGTCCAACCATCAACATGGTATTGAACATAAAAAATAACTTCAGAAGTTACAACCACCATGCCACTAAACCATGTCCCTCAATGCCACATTACACATTTCTTGAACGCTTCCAGGAACTCTGCCATTTCCCTGGGCAGACTGTTCCAACACTCCATCACTCTTTCTGAGAATAAATTTTTCCTAATATCCAACCTTAACCTCACCTACTGTTACTAAAGACCATCTCTTGTCCTTTCACTGTTACCTCACAGAAGCCACTTGAAACATAATATATTTTAATGGTGAAGGTATTTTTATCTAATTCCACATAAAACTGAGAACAGAATAAAAATAAAGATTGAGTAAATATATACAACGTATAGAATAAAATATGAGTCTAAATAATGCAGCTGAAATGCACCATTGCTCCTCACCCACAGAACATAGTAACAGTACAAAATTAGCAGAGAAAAATCAGAATTCATTTTAAGGAGAAGAATCAAGCTGAGAGAGATATCTTTAACCATTTAGAAACCAAAAAACAGGACTTTTTTTTTTTTTTATTTTAAGTCAAGTGAAATCAGTCACATTTAAGCTGTTGAGCTCTAGCCATGCTTTTTCTATCAGTCACTGTGTTATGCATTTCCCTCTTTATTTTCTGTCATACACAATCTCCTGTGACTATGGAAACATCCAGTTTCTATCATCTGTATTTATATGGTAAGATATCACAGATAGAAACATACTGACTTACTCAATTTTGAGTGAAGCTATTTTGGAAAATAACCCCTTAAAATGTCACACCAAAAAAGCTTAAAAAGTTTTTTGCCATTGACTTCAAAGGGCACACAGAAATTATGGGCAGAAACGTGTGCTGTAAGCATAATAAAAATAAATACCTTCTTAGTCTAAAAATTTCTACTTTTTTTCTGCTTCTTTTCATTGAAATAAACAAATGTAATTCAAATACTTGAGTTATCATGAATACTAGCACTACCAAGTCCACATACCTGAGGCACAGTGATTTAATTCCTTTCCCTCATCAGCTAATTCAGCTTGAGGAGTTTGCATCTACTGGCTGTCAAAGCACTACGTCGATTCTTAGATTTTTAACAGAGATTTCACTACTGGCTTTAAAAGAAAAGAGAAAAATATGTGAAGAGATGTTTGATGGGGAGTCTACTACAGAAAATCAATACACCCAGAGAACTGATATGAAACCAGCCTTTGTGAGCCATTCTACAGAGTACAGCTGAACTGGGTTTAAATTGGTTTTGGTCAGGATTTATAACTCCCGGAGTCATTAGCTCAGCTGGTGTAAAACAGTACTGTCCAGAACTGTCATTATGGAACATGTAAAAGGGTGGAAAAAATTGGAAAAACTAAAATATTTTGCTGTCTCAGGCAGTTGGGGGAAGAGAGCTGTATGTTTACATTTTAAATAAACCCTGCTTGAAAACAAATTTCAAAACCGACAAGTGGCAGACTCTCAAGAATTTTGTCAATATTGCTATTTAAGTCACCTTGTCCAAATTTTCTGGAGGAATTCCTGTACTTAGTTGTTAACAAAGAACACTGAATTTCAGAGTAAGTTAGCACCTCCTGTGTACTCTCTTCCTTTAGCTAGTTCCCCTGCTTTTTCCAGAATTATACACCCAAAATACCACTTGAGCTGCATAAACATAGAAACAATACAAATTTTACCCTGAAGGCGATTTTACAGAAAATAAGAGAATTATATCAAGGAATGAACTCGGCTCCACCTATACAGAGGCCCCACAGATGTGAGTGTGTGTCCTGTTGGGCAAGGCTTGGTATGCTGCCTGTACAGTACAGCATCTTATCTTATCCTTTCACATTCACATTTGTATTTACCTCAACTGCTTTTGGCTCCTGCAAGAGGTTACGCAGAGCTGGATGCACTTCTGTAGCAGTGGAAAATTTGCTAAGATAGAGCCTGAAAAATGGATCATATAAAATACAAACTTAACAAGATGCATAACCACCAGCCTGCTTTCCTCAGAAAAATTAAAAAAGGAAAAAAAAGTCCTTATTGTCTCAATGCTTTGTAACAAATTTTAAGAGCTATTTTTTTTAATAGTGCTCCTGAAAGAAAAAAGATAAACAAGAATGTGCCCTCTAAAATGTAAAAGATTATGCTTTTAACAGAAACAATCTATATATAAATAATCTAATGGGAGATACTATGTTGGATTTTTTTTTTTTTAAGTTAAGTCTTTCTTTTAAAACTTGTTTTTGCAAAGCAATATTTTTTACATTTTTTTAATCCACACTACTGCAATCCATATCTCAATGTAACTTAGACTGGATCTGAAGGGACTGAGAAATAAACATCATTTCATTATGTTGATAAAGAACAAGAGAAACATTGTGAATTTGTTCCCTTCATCTCTGAAAAAAAGAAAACTATCATATTCCTAAAGACAGCAGGGCTACAAAATAACCATTTTATACTCAAGGCTGAGTTAACATTAGTTTAATACTTTGCTAAGCATTAATCCATAAGATAATATAAAAATATTTTGTCTAACACACAACAGAACGTGCTCAGCCTACATCTTCATTTCCTTTGTTCAGCCTCTTAAAAAGATGATGCCACTTAGAGGTACGAGGCCATATACAGATTTTAAAAACTAATTTATTTTTTTCCCATCATTGTTGGTCCTTCAGTTTGAACAGTATGACTAAGTTTGCTTTTGCCATCTTGCTGTCTTCTCCAGTCCTCAGGACACCCACTTGAAGCTTGTGGGTGTATGATGAAAACTGTCCCCGTTTCCCCGCTTACCTCTCATTGGTATCCTCAAATGTTGCTCCTTCATCTTGGTTTCTCCTCAGCACCGCTAAAACACCCTCCAGGTTCCTACAGAATTTTCCATGCCTTTCTCCTGAACTCAGAGCACTCTGCTATCCCCACACTGTGTCCCTCTCCCATCATGAAGAGCAATCCCAAAAATCAGTTGCCATACACCAGCTCTTCATGTTGTGCCCTGGGGAGAGAAGTGCCTTTTGGGAACTCTCTGCTCTGTACCTCTCATAGCCCATTTCATCATGGCTCTCATTCTCCACCTCACAAGTACTGATCATTTCCCAAAGTGCCCTGGCACCAGACAGGTTTCTGATCAATAAATAACTCTGTTTTACATGGTTCAAATTTACGCTTTTATTTGTTTTTTTAAATTAAAAAAATAAATTTCATTATTAAATAGTGGAATGGGTCTAAACTAAGGTTTACATATTAATTCACTTGCTTTAGAATACCAGAGAAACAATTAGAGTATACCGCCCAGACAAAACTCTCCGTTAGAAAGCTCAACAGTGGCGTAATTCAGTTAAACGGGAAAAAAAAGTCTTAATGTTTACAATGAATGTTAGAAGTAAACCTCTGGTGTTGGTGTCATCCGAATCTAGTTTCCATCGCAAAGGCAGTCATTGCATTCGGAATACTATACCACAGTGCTAATGTCATCGGCTTCATCTGGTTTCTTTTGCCTGCTTGGCAGGGATTTCAAGTATTCAAGGTGCCTCCTTGCATCCTCCTGATTTTGCCGGACGTAATAAACCACGTATGAGATCACCATGGTGAACCAGCCAAACATAGTGACCAGCATGGCGTAATCGGTAGTCTTTTTGGGAAGGTTACAGAGGTCAGCATCATTGGCAGCATTGAGGAAGGGTCTCCCAGCGTGTTCATCCAGCACAGAGGTCTTGCAGATGACATTGTTGGCCGTCTCATGGTTGACGGCCATACTCCTCAATACCTGCTGCAGTGTGCAGTCGCAGTGCCATGGGTTGTTTGCAATCCTGGCTCTGGCTTTTAAGTTGTTGAAAGCGTTTTTGTGCACACTTTGAATCCTGTTGTCGGACAAATCCAGAGTCTGCAAAGTTTCTGCCACCCCTTTAAAGGCATGTTCATCTATAAATTCAATCCCGTTTTTTGATAAATTGAGGACTCTCAGTTGGTGCAAATCCTTAAAAATTTCATTGGGGATAGATGTTATCTGATTGGAGTCCAAATAAAGTAAGACTGTTTCTGGTGGAAGATCTCTGGGTATCTCCTTGAGGTTTGCATTGCTACAGCTGACATTTAAACCTCCAGAGTGAGAACAGAGGCAGCCTTTTGGGCACATACTGGCAGAATGAAAGCACAGTATCATGAGGACAAAACTTTGTAAGAGTAGACACATGGAGAGGGAACGAGTTAACCACAGGTCTACCAAATGCATGCTGGGGTGTCAGCATAATCACACGACCATTTCTCATTCAGCCAACGGTGGTGGGAAAAGGATCGGCAAAGCTGAAGTGCGGCTTCATTTTCTTCGGTGGGATTAGTAAAAATTGACTAACATGTGGACTTTCTCATGGTCAAAACTCTTCTTAAAAACACACCTGCAAAGAGGAAGAAAAGTTCCTTATACCATAAACTCCAATCCCAACTTTTTTTAAAAAAAGAAATAAAATGAAGTGAAAGTGAAAGGCAACACCACAACACTAGCTAAATGATCTATTGTCCTATCAGTGCAACACAGTATTTATTCAAGTACCTCCTACTAGCATTAAAATGAGTTTAGTACATAAATCCCAGGGACGTTTTTAGGAGGACAGACTACACTTAGTCCAAATTGCACTGGTTTAGGCTTTAATACGTTTTAGAGGAGGCACTGTTTTTGTTTTTTTGTTGTTTTTTTAAACTAGACCTTTCTAAAATATCCATAAAAATAAATCACATTTTCCCTTGCTAATGTAGGAGATGCATTAGCAGGAGTTAGGATTTGGATCTCCAGAAACAGTGACAGGTAAGTGAGGCAACAGTGGTGGTTAATGTGAATTTATCTCAAAACAATTTATGTTATTTTTGGTCCAAATCAAAGTATCACAGCAGGGAAATATTTTAACTATATCCGTAACAATATCATCAACAAATCAGTAACCAAATAATATTGGAAGACACCACATTCATCATGTCCCTGCTGTCTGCCCATTTCTTTCTTGCTTTATTCTCATTTCCTGTACCTCTCAGTATTTTGTGAGCTAGTGTTGAGACCCACAGAAATCACTTACACCACTAGTTTCTTGAGAATTTTCTTTACATTTAAGATAGAAAGAAAGAAAGAAATGCAGCACTTGCCAAAAACTCTCAGCCTCCCCACATTAAATAAACCTCACACACAACTATGTGCAAGCCAAACAAAAAAAGTTATTCATGGCATGTAATTTGCTAATAGAACACATGAAAAATATTGTTTCTTCTCCCCTTGCAAGCTGGCTTAAAAATAGTAAATATCCAGAAGCTTTTCTATTTTCTTCTTTAATTGGAACACAAATACAGAAGTCTGAAATGCTGACCTATAAGGTTTCAAAGACAACCTCATTTATTTTTTCCCCTATTATGGCAAACTACAAATTTCTAACCACAACAGGTCCATTTGTTTTCATGCACATGCCCCCTCTGTCTTTGTAGCAGCTTGGATATTTGCAGCATTCAGGTTGTATTTACATATAAATGAATTTTTTTTTCCAGCACACAGTGTAGTCCACTGAACAACAAAATCCCTGCAGGGAGGATGTGTGCAATTCTATGGGAAAAAGAAGAAATTGTACTGCAATCATATTTGCTTGCAGAATTCACATACTAACTGCAGTTCTGGCACATCACAGTAATACGGATTAAATGTGTCACAGAGTACTTCAAACCTACAGTTCAATTTTTATTTATCCCTTCTTGATGACTGTCAGAATGTCAGTAACCCTACAGGAAAAAACATCTTATGAGTATGTATATTATGTGTGGCTACTTCATTTCTACGGCTTGGGAATGGAAAAATCCCACCTTTCATTGCAACTTCCTGTATCACTACTTGTCAGTTTATTTACTGATCAAGAGAGAGATTGCCCAAGAAGATAAACAGAAAGCTTATGCTTGGGCTCTGTAGCATGAAGGTCCCCTACCCTGAAATTTCTTTCTTTTCTTAAGCAGAAAGGAAGTTAGCAATTTCTCTTGCAGAGTTAACCCTATCAATGTAAAAACATTACAAAAGGAAGTAAGCTGAACATGAAGCAGAAAGGGAGGTGATACAGCATCTCCACAGTCAGCAGAGAGCCCTGCACAGCCCTTACGAAACAGGCGTCACAAGAAAGAAGACCATTGCACTGGGTGCCATTTCTCCCTTTGGTCACAAATTCAGATCAGACGGAAATCTGTTACCGAAGGAGACAAGCTACAGAAGTTGTTTCTTCCCAGCCTGCCCAAAAGTGCTAAGTACTTGCTAAAATGTGCAGCCCATTTGGAGGCCAAGCCGGAGGCGGCGGCAGTTCGCTCTGGCAACACAGTGCTGGCAATCTGCTTCACCCTCCCACAGCCAGGGCTGCCGCAGCAAGAAGGGCTGTCCCCAAGGAAAACAGCCATCTATTTTCATTTCCTTTCGTGTTTACGGGTCTCACTACCATGCTGCACCAAGAGAGTAGAAGAGTGGTCCAACTCACCATCACAGAAGTAGTAGGCATCACCTCATCACCTACTGCTTGTACACAGTGGCTTTCCACCAGTGATGCTGGAGTCCTACTGCCAGCATAGAATGAGGTAAAAGAGCAAAGAGATGCAGTTATCTTAGATGTTTAATTCTGCAGATGCATAAAAGTCCTGCTGTTTTCACCAAACTGTGAGGATTACTACTTTTCTGAAAGAGTGGTCAGGCACTGGAACGGGCTGCCCAGGGAGGTGGTGGAGTCACCGACCCTGGAGGAGTTCAAGGAATGTTTGGATTTTGTGTTGAGGGATATGGGTTAGTCAGAACTATTGGTGATAGGTGGATGGTTGGACTGGATGATCTTGTAAGTCTTTTCCAACCTTGGTGATTCTGTGATTCTGTGATTATGCATCATATCAAAAGACTACCAGAACCCCGATGAAAAAAAAAATCAATCAAAAGATAGTGTTTTAACACTCTACATCTCTCTGTATCTATACCAGCACCTCTGTTAGCATAAGATAGAATCAGTGACATAGTTATAAATCTATCAGTATTAGCTTTATGAACTTTGAAGACTTTGATTACTATTAGTCCCTGGATAGCCACACATGAGAAATGTGACACTAACATCTCTGCTAATGCTACCAGATTTCAGCTTTTCTCCATAACAGTGTTCATTAATATTATACAAGTGTGGGAAAACATTCATGCACCAACCTAAATTACACCACAGATCCTGCTGAGACCTCCACAGCAAGTGTAAGTGTCAAAGATCCCTTATGCACCAAAGAAAATGTGTGATGCCTTCAGCCCAATGAAGACAAGTTAAGCTCTTTTTCTTTAACATATTAATGTGTTTAGAGTGGAAGGAGTAGGATCATTACAGACTGAGAAGGAAAATGTTTAATGAAGCAATGCCTCTTCATAAGAGAATACTGACTAAATGGGTAAAGAGGGAGAAAAACTCCCACTGTTTTAAGTTGTTAAAAAGAACAAATACAAGTTTAAACCCGTAATTAACAATCCAGTCAACAAAAACTTCACTGAGCAAGAATAAAGCTCAGCAAATTCTCAGTAAATTAACTGGAAACAATCCAATGAGACTGAGCATCAGTCAAGGAAAGCAGAGCTTTCAAAACTTCCATAATCAGAATATCTTATTCCATATCTGTGGTTTGAAATCCACTAACAAATCCATACCAAACACATCCTTTACTTTCAGGCATCCTACTAACTGCAACAAGAGAAAAGAGAACTAGGATCTGACCTTTAGCAACGCTGAAAGGAAGATTTTTGACTTCTGGAGCATCTACCAGATTTTCTCAGCCTAGAATGCATTAAATAAAGAAGAAGGTAATGGAGATTGGAATAAAGACAGGAGACACGCAGCAGACAGGAAAATTAAAGTCTACAGGAAAATTAAAGTCTACAGAAAAATAGATGTAAAACATAGAATTACAACAAACATATGAGTTAGTTGGAAATCTGTAAATAATTATCAAGTAAATAAAGGCATAGGAAAAATGACAGCAATGCTCAAGGACAGATAACAGCATGGCATAGAAAGATATTTTGTGTACACTTCTAAAATACAAGTAGACACATAGAAAACCTACTGTATAAGTCAAATACTGCAGGGCAATAAAACTTCAGAGTGCAAATGACACAAAAGAACTTTTTACAGCCTTGACATTTTAACTGGTTTTTTTTATGCTCCCCCATGACCATTCTGTACAAGCACCCAGCAACGTGTGAAAATGCTTTCCTTGAGGATTTCAAGATGTATACATTTGATTTTAATACACAGTGAGTGTTCAACCAAAACTCCAGGTGTCAGGTTCTTGCAGATGTCTGCCTTTCAGACAAGCAAAGTGTATAAACATATCTTGGCATCTGAGTGCTTAGCATCTACAATATTACTAATTCAAGTATTTAATTAATAACTTCTCTCTACATAAAATTCAGCGAGGTAAAGAAACATTAGTGCTGCTAGCTACCCATCTGGAAATAAGGGCCTGAAAACTTAGCCAAGTCATACAGAAAGACCATGACAAGATTACTTTAAATATAATTTATGCCACTGTGTCTTCAGAGCAAGATTTAGGAAATCCTATAAACATCACAGAGAACAGCATAAAAGTGACACTGAAACAGACTAAGAGTTTTTGTTTATGACAGTACTAAGACAACAAAAGGCACAATAAGACATCATTTATATTGCTTAAAGATGGCTCATCACATCTATTTGACTGATAACTGATTGGGACAGTTAGCTGCACCTGCCCCTTGGAGTCATAACCCAAGAACAAGAGAGTGCAGCCCTGCCAATGGGCAAATACCATCCCAGTTATACAATAAGTTTTTATCCTCTGGGTGCAGTCTCTCCAGAGACTGCACATGACCACAAAGGTATGACAGGACAAGGGTATGACACAAAATGAGTTACAAAAGAAGAACAAAAGGCAGAAGCACGCAAAGTGCCTCGTGTGAGAAAAGGGACTGCAAACAAAAACATGAGTGATGCTAAGGTCAGCTACCACAGTACTGGGTTCTGTGGGAAGACAGGGAGGGCAAAGGAGCAAGGCAAACTTGTGGAGTCAACTCTGGGAGCATAGTATGAAAGGTAGAGCATAGTTTTTTATGCTCACAGTTTTTTATGTGGCTTCTGGTGTCAAAAAGTCTGGCTACAAACGGTTTTCACTGCTGATCTCTTACGCCAAGAGAGAGCTCTATCTCAGGCATGATTATCTGCGTGTATTCCATAAGCTAAATTATGCCTTCTTTGGCATTTGAGCAATTTGCACCATCTTAGTTCTGTGCCAAGAAGGTTAAATGGCACACACATCTGACTGTGAAGGAAATTCACAGTAAGTAATATGCTAGACTGATCTCTCCTCTTGTCTTCAAAACTGGATT